CACATATATGAATATAGTATACATGGTGCCTTTATGTCGAAATTGCGTTGCTCTCTCATTGGATTTACATTAATTTACGCATTTTATTTAAAACGTGAAGTGGGGTCGTAAAAATAAATATAAATATATAAGTTAAAATTGTTGAAACGACGTGAAGTATAAAAACTCCCCAATCCAAATTTTCATTTTCTAAGCCCCGTTAAATGGAAAACCCGGTAAATAGAAAACCCTCTGTAATTCGTAAAAACTTCTGTTTCCTTGCCATTTCGAATTATCGAGACTCGAGTGTATATGCATATACATAAGTTCGTGATCCATATGAACAATAGATCTAGTACAACCATTGTACACTCCACTTGTTGTAGATCTATGTAGATCCAGATTCAATAATTTTGTCGATTTTTGTTAGAGCACTCTTACTTGCTTTGACATATGTATAATTTTTAGACAGAATATTTACATCAATTATTAAAACTTAGATTAACAGGTGTCATAATCAGTGTCATAAAACAATCTATAGACTCTTAAAACAATCCTTCGATCTGTCCCGTCTCGGTGTTCAGATCGATGTCATAGATGGCTGGGCGAGTGGACAGTCCGGGCATTTTGGTTATATCGCCACACATGGCAACTACAAAGCCAGCTCCGGCGGATACATAAACACTCTGAACCTTGAGAGTGAAGCCCTTGGGTGCACCTTTAATGTCGGGATCGCCAGTAACGGAAGCGGAAGTCTTCGACATGCATATCGGAAGGGAACCAAAGCCCTGCAAAAGCAAAAACATTTAAGGCAACTCCATAGGGACGTGAATATGAATGACTTACTGCGTCGGTCAGGCGCTTGATCTGATCCCTGGCTTCCTGGCTAAGTTCCACTTGCCCCGCTCCGTACATGGTCTGCGCAATCTTGGTCATCTTATCCGCCAGAGGCAGGTTTGGTTCGTAGAGCAGCTTAAATTTGTTATCCAGTTGACTGGCCTCGATGACAGCCTCTGCCAGAGGCACGGCGCCGGCACCACCGTCTGACCAGTGGGTGGAGACTACGGCAGCAAAGGCGCCCGCCTGCAAGGCGGCCTTCCTTAAGAGCGCATGCTCGGCCGGAGTATCAGCCACGTGGGCATTGATGCTCACCACGACGGGCATGCCGAACGAGCATCCATTGGAGATGTGCTGCAGAAGATTTGGTAGGCCCTTCTCCAGCAGTTCCAGGTTCTCCTCTGTGTACTGTTTGTTGAGCGGGGCACCTGGCGTAACTGGAGCTCCTCCGCCATGCATTTTAATAGCCCTGACCGTGGTCACCAGCACCATGGCGTCGGGCTTCCTGCCCGAGTTGCGGCACTTAATGTTGCAGAACTTCTCCATGCCAATGTCCGAGCCGAAGCCTGCCTCGGTGCACACGAAGCCCTCGCTGCCCACCAACTTGAGGCCGATCTCATCGGCAATGATCGAGTTGCAGCCGTGAGCGATGTTGGCGAAGGGACCTGCGTGCACTAGCACTGGGGTGCCCTCCAGGGATTGCATCAGGTTTGGTTCCAGGGCATCCTTCAGCAGCACAGCCAGGGCTCCCGTTACGCCCAGGTCGTCGGTAGTCACGGGCACGCCATCCTTGTTAAATGCCACGACCATCGCGCCAAGCCGGCACTTCATGTCCGCCAAGCTGGAGGAGAGCGCAAGCACTGCCATAATCTCACTGGCCACCGCAATAGAGAAGCGCGTCTTGCGGCACATGCCCTTCTCACTGGGCGACTGGCCAATCGTGATCTCGCGCAGATATCTGTCGTTAATGTCCACCACGCGCTCCCACATGATGGTGTCCACATCGATGTTGAGTCGTGAAAAGGCCGCGGCTTCCTCTGGGGTCAGTTGATCGGGATCCGTTTTATCAATGCCCAAACGCTTCAAGCGACGCAGCTGAATCGGGGAGAACTTACGCTGCCCCTTGATCCTCGGCACCAGCCGGTTGTACAGAGCCGTGTCCGATTGCGTCGCCTCGTGGAAGATGCGCGTGTCCAGCTGGGCAGCCACCAAGTTGTTGGCCGCCGCTACGGCGTGAATGTCGCCGGTGAGATGCAAGTTGAACTCCTCCATGGGTATCACCTGGGCATAGCCACCGCCCGCTGCTCCGCCTTTGATGCCGAAGGTGGGTCCCTGCGAGGGCTGGCGGAGTGCAGCGACCACATTCCGCTGCTTGTGCGCGCCGAGCGCCTGGACTAGGCCCATCAGCGTGGTCGTCTTGCCCTCGCCCAGAGGCGTGGGCGTGATGCCCGCCACAACGACATACTTGCCCACCGGTTGGTCCTTCAGACGCTGAATCACGCTCAGCGAGATCTTGGCCTTGCGGCTGCCATACATCGACACCTCGGTCGGCAGCAGTCCGATCTCCTCGGCCAGCTTCCCGATGTGCTTGGGTCGCTGCGCACGCGCGATTACGATGTCAGACGGCACAGGCCTGGCGGGTCGCAGCGGCAGCACCTCCAGCGGCCACTGGCTGCGCCTGGCACTAGCCGCTGCCCTGGTGGCCGATACCACGGTGTTCTTCATGAGCATGGCCACGGTCATTGGCCCCACGCCTCCCGGCACAGGTGTCAGATAACCCGCCACCAGCTTCGCCTGCTCGTAGTCAACGTCGCCCACCAAGCGGCTGCCACTCGCTTTAGATGCGTCTGCAAGCAACAGGATGCGGGTATTTCAATTTAATCTCCAATGCCTGCGCCTGGGCCTATATCTATGCTGCTCATGTCAGGCTTCCAGCAGCTTGATGTCTGCTATAGCCCAGAGAAATCTGTTTACTAAGTTTCAAACAGAAATTCAGAGCGTGGAAAGCAACTAGCCGAGCTGCTTATCAGGGTCGCAGCAGAGATCAAACGGGAGATTTAACACGGAAAATAAGAATACTCCTTACCGACTAGAAGATACCCTATTCAGACTAATCTGAAGACATTACCCAAAGACAAGATATATCAAAATAGGTCTTCAAAATCCTATTCAAAGTAATTCTATTCAAGATTTTCATTGGCCTTATTTAACTATGAATTAACGATAAACGAACCGGTAGCGGCCAATGTTCATTTCCTGCTTATGATGCTGATCTACATTAAGTAAATTCCATTAACACTCAACTATGATTAAATAACCTGAGACCTGAGCCTACGCTAAGCTGACGGGCATGACTCGATTAATAGATAGAAATGAACTTTAAGCGTCTGCCGAAACTCCTTCAGTTTGATATGATACATACATATATATATTGTTATAGGTTATGAGATCCAAAAGGCAGTAAAGAAGTCGACGAATAACCATGGCAAGACTGAACCAACTTTCCATCTCAATATAGAATATATATTCCTAATGATCCCATCTTAATTAGAAGTACACATATATGCCAAATGATCTTGAGAAACTTTCCTCTTGGCTACAGCAATGTCGCCTTTTTGCATTCCTAAAGGAGTTTCGGTTTGCCACTCACCTGGCTTCACATTGATGCCACAATCGATGACCACTGCGCCAGGCTTTATCCAGCTGCCCTTGACCATCTCGGGCACTCCGATGCCCACCAGGAGAATATCAGCGCTACGCGAGATCTCCTCCAGGTTGCGTGTTTTTGAGTGGCAAACGGTGACCGTCGCGTTCGCCCACTTGAGCAGCTCGGCAGCTGGCGTGCCAACGATCTTACTGCGACCGAGGACAACGGCTCGAGCGCCGGCGATCTCCACTCCGGTGCTGCGAATTAGCTCGAGGCAGCCCCACGGTGTGCAGGGCAGAAAGCCGTTGAGATCGCCCACGGCGAGGCGACCCTCATTCACTGTGTGCAGGCCATCCACATCCTTGGCTGGGGAGACCGCGTCTGTAATCCGGTGCGCATCGATGGCCGTCTCGCAGTCCAAAGGCATCTGAACAATAATGCCATGCACCTGAGGATCGGCATTAAGGTCGCTCAGCTGTGGGAACACATGACGCGCGATTGATTAGAAACAATCGAGGTGTTAATTACTTGATAGCAATTCAATTAAATGCTCTATGGGAAGGGTGTGATAATTTTCTTATTAAATGTGTAACACATTGAAGGCAAACATTCATTTCTTTATACAGTTTATACAAAAAATGAACAGAAACAAACTCATGAAGTCAGTTATTTACTTAAGGTCTGTCATTATTCAACTTGTTTTGTTGAAAAATTAAGCATATGTTTTTTGAATCAAAGTTTTTATTTCCCCTAAAAGAGTCCCTATTTTCAATTTCATTAAATCCTAATGTCTAATTTGAAAAGCTGTACGAAATTGAAATCGAAATATCTCACAGTTTTGATTATAGAGTTGTGTTGGTGCAGTCGTCCACCTCCTAAGCTTACTAGAAAATAAACGATTTACTTAATTAAAAATAAATAATAAGATTCAGATTTAAGAAATTCGACCCTCAACCATCCTTCTCTGTTTCCATAATTCACATATTGATCTCATTTGCAAAACTATATTATTTTCATAGCTTAGGAACAATAGGTCACCTATTTTAGGAACATGCAGTAACAAAATATATACATACATATTATATTTAGGTTGCTTATTTTAAATGCGATAATGACCGAGTCTGTCAATTCATAGCTTTCAAAAATAATGTTTAAGTGTCAATTTTTTGCACAAGCAGCAGGTAGGAGCCTAGCATATATGTAAGTTTTTACATATACATATGTACATATACCATATCTTCTTTATTTTAATGCTTTCGTTTTGCTCGATCCGACAGGCTGCTCGCAGGTAATTAATTTTT